ATTGAAAATAAGTGCTCACATTCGTCATCAGCCATACGGTCGACATAAGGCCCCCCGTCGAGCTCCCAAAAGCGGCTGACAATCTCATCCAACCGAGACTCTTTCAAAATATGGGCACCATACGAGCGTAAGCATGGACAGCTGGTCGAATTCGCGGAGGCTGGCCCGAAAATGACCCAACCCAGACGCGTAAGTTGAGCATGTGGCTCATTGTGACCACCTCTGATAGTGTCTCCTTCCAAAATGAGACCCCAAACGACGTCCTAATAGAAGGTCAATTCTTCCCGGAGTACCAAACTGTGGGTCTGCCATTTGCAGACCAACCAAGTGTCCATACTGATTCACATCAATCTGCGCTGTTGGCAGCACTGAAGTAATTGATGTGATGACCAACGTTTGAACTGCCAAAGAAAATTCTGAGTGGGTTGATTTGAGCGTTATTGCCACAGCGCCCTTTGTACGTGTACAGGATAATGCACCAATGCCCTCGACCGCGACCTCATAACTGCTTCTGCGAAGACTCAGAGCATTAGCAAAACGCTCAGTAATAAAACTTACTTGTGATCCAGGGTCGCACAAAATCCTAGCCAGTCGTTCCTCCGAATTGTCACCAGAAATATATGCGCATGCTGTTGCGAGTAGTATTGTCTGGTCACCCTGAGCATGGCATCCAATCACAGAGTCAGATAGTCATAACGTAGGTTGAGCCGGTGCTACTAGTACACCCGGCTGCGATGAGGTGGTGGTAGTAGCCGCTACCATCCTTGTTGAAGGCGCGGCAGGCTTTAGTTCGCGACAGAATATGGTGTTGTGTTTGCGGCCGCATTGACGACATCCTCCAGAGGAGCACTGCTTAGATGCATGCTCCAACCTCAAACAATTAAAGCATAGGCCCGACTTCCTAAGAGACTCAAAATGCTTCTCCGGTGGTAAATCCAGTAGAGTTGGGCAGCGCATGACCCTATGTGCCCCTCGACAATACTGACACTTCCCTTCCTCTGTTGAAATGTTGCATTTCACAGTGCGCGCGGTTGGTGACCGCTGTGGCTGACGACAACAAGCTCGGTCGACAGACTCTGTGCTCTTTGCTCCAAGAATTTCATTAGATCCGACAAACTAGACAATTCCGTTGGGGAACAGTGCATGCACCACTCGCGCTTTGCTAACGGAGGTAGCTTTGATACCACAATAGGTACCGTAAGTGCATCCCACTGTTGAACTGGCAACTTCCTAACGGCTAACGCGCGCAAAGAACCGCTAACCACATCCACTATATTCAGCAAAGACTTCGCCGATTCATCTGCTGCCAATGAAAGGTGAAGGAAACGCGCCACATGAATTTCTGCCAACTGCTTGGGGTTGACATACCGCCTCTTCAAAGCTGCCCACAGTTCCTCGTAACCGCCAGAGTAGAGACCACCAACTAACGGCACCGCTGAGGATGGAACAGCTTGCCGCAATTTACCGAGCTTGTATGCGATGGGTAAATCTCGGTTGTGCACTAAAGTCTCGAACGCATCCTTAAATGTCAACCAATTATGTAATGCGCGGTCAAAGGTCGGAATATTTAATCGCTCCAGCTTTAATTCCATCATTGAATCGACATCTGGTTTGCTGGGAACCACGGACGAATCACCAGCAGTCACACCCCAACGCATAAGACTGGCACATAATTCGTTGTACATGTCCTCCGTCGAATCCCACCATGCGGCATGCACATCCCACTCCTCTTCCTTGGCGGCGCTATGGAGCGCTTCGTGGTTTGCAAGCATGCGCTCGTAATGGGATTTCGCGGACTTCAGCAGCTGCTCAGCCTTAGATGCATCTAATTCGCCGGTGCGCGCTTTCCGCACTTGCTCCAGTGCACGGGCAATAGCCGATGCATGAAACTTACGCAGATTTATTTCTGCCATTTACATATATGTTTACGTACCAGTGTAGAATACAATGTGTGGTTATGGCAGTACACGTATCTTGCGCGATCCGAATTAAATCCAATGATATCGCAGCAATCGTTTGAAATTACGTACAAATTATAATATATTAATTTTCACACGGTTCTTAGTCCTCACAGGAGGCACCAAAAATTATGTTGAATAAAAAAAGACTCGACGTAATTACCAAACACGTTTATTCAATGCAGCGATCTAAAAGGAGAGAAACTTCAATACAAGTGTAGTACAATATTTAGCAAAAATGAATTAAATGAGAACGATTATGAATTAGTGAAACACTTGCACAAGGTGAATAGCTTGAATTGAAATGAACAATATAAATATTAGACATAATATTTATCGTAAAATTAATGACAGGCTTGATGTAAATTGTCAAGACACTTTCGACCTCTATTTTTAAAGCCATGCAAAACTAATTTTGAACTAAACGAATCATTCCGTGGTTTATGTCAAGATTCTAACTGTCATTCCAGCACGTTTGACGTATCGGACTCGATTTTTACTATAAAGAAAACTATTATTTCCACTCCCAATAATTGAAATACTATCTTTAGCATATCCAGTCAGCTGATGAATTTGATTCTGTAGCTGAATAGTTTTAGATCTCGACACTTAACAAACTCCTGTTTCCACTACTCGGCATCAAAAAATTAACAAAAAAAAAAGGTTCCGTACGTCATGCGGACTGCGCCCCTCGTGTCGGTTGGGCGGGAATGGAGGGTAAAAAGCCGTTGGGATTAATTAATAGTCAGGAAAAATACTAGTTTACAAATAGAATTTCCTGACAGAAACCGAACTAGTTCGAAAATGACTAAACTTACCAAGTACGAAACGATTTATTCATGCCCTGTTTTATTTGA